TTCCCATGAGTACTGAGCTGCAGTTTCTTCTCCTGACAGACACTGCCTACGCAAAGAACAAAGCCAATGACAAGTGGTACTACTTCGATGACAGCAGTGTATCAGTGGCTTCAGAAGACCAAATAGTGGTGAGTATGTGGCCTGAGGCGGAGAAGACCTTCTTAAAAGAAAGTTTGTGCTGAAAGTGTGGTTCCCTGCTTTGGGGTGTTACATTTCCAGCCAAGCTGTGTGGATTGTTTCAGATGGTTTTCTTCTTTGTTTGTTTGGTAGACAAAAGCTGCGTATGTGCTGTTTTATCAGCGCCGAAACAGTGAGGAACATAGTGCCCCATCTCCTTCCCAAGAAGAGTGTGACGGCATGGATACCAACTAAATGTCACCTCCGGCACTCGGCCACCATGTTAGCAGTTGCTCTTCTAAAGCCATGCCTGAGGCATCTGAAATTTTTCTTCCTTCTGTAGGAGTCAAGCAGAAAATCTAGCACTGAAAGATTCAGTGCTGCGAGTTGCAGAATAGCACTGGAGAGCCAGGAATAGGTGCTGACTCTTGGGTATTTAGAGGCCAAAAATAATATATATTGGAGCTTCAATAAAGTTCTTTTTAAAATCTGGCTGAGCTGTGTGGCTAGAGGCAGGGGCTGGGGCTGAGCTGGGCTGGGGCTATGGGTCTTGGGCTGAGGGTTGTAGCTGGGGTCAGGAGAGTACAGCCTGAGCTGAGGCCAGGTCACAGGTGAGCCTTTCAGGAGCCCATGGAGGAATACAGTGGGTACGATTCTGTGAATCGGCGTGGGGGCTTCCTCCAGCCCTCTGGTGTTGCTGTTGGGCCCTGCCTGTGTTAGGGAGGCTTGCTGCACCCTTTCTAGAAACTCAGTTCAAATCTCTGTACATGTGGCCTGGCTGTTGCAGTCTCTGCCATCGTACCTTGGTCCCCTTGCTAAGCAGCAAATGTTTCTCTTGTCTTGTGTCCTTTTCACTGGTGTGTTTGAGGCTCTTCTGGGCAGTTTTGACTCGGCCTTTTTCATGTGAACACTGAATCCTGTAACGCAGGAAACTTTGCCAGAAGCAAGTTGTACCTGCCTATGGCAGGCTGATCCGTGCAGCGGTGCAGGATACAGCTGTTCTGGCTCCCATTCTGCAGAGAAAATACCATCCATAAGGTTGGTGATTTCTTGTCCTCTGCCACCCGTCTCCTATGCCCCTCACTTCCAGGCTGCTCTGTAAGCACTTTTCTGCCTCCACCATTTCTCCTATGGTTTGTGCAGTGGCAGCATTTTTATCCTTTTTTTTTCTCATTTATGTGACTCCTTGGAGCTTTTTCTCCAGCAAAGCTCAGCACTGTGTCCCTGGAGCTGTCACCTGTAAGGATGACAGCCCAATGCAATGGATTGTGTGAGTTTTCAGCCTTTTCTCTTGTGACTTTTGGGTTTTTTTGGACTGCTCTTTCAGCCTTTCTCCTCCTCCCTTGAGTGCTGCTTTTTAGATCCCCCATCCCATCATCTCCTGTGAGGCTGCAGGTGTGATGGTCCTGTCTGAGGTCTCTCTTTGCCTTAGCTGTTCAGTAGTTCTGCTCCATCCTTCTGGTGCAACTGGCAAATGCTCTTCCCTTTGTCCTTTGCCATCTGTGTTACTTGTAGGACTCAAGTCTAGCTTCTTGAATGAGGACTCCTGTGAGCACTAGATCAGGTCACTGTTCAGTTAAAAACTGGTCTTCTGTGTGAAAAATTGTAAAAATCTAAAGCCTTAGTCTGTTT